AGCCGCTCTAACAAAAGCACCCGGAGTGTCTTGTGTATCAGTGTCCCTGTGCTTCAAAATGGCTGTGGGGGCGCTTTATCTAAAGATCATTGAACGAGCTTTAGTTAAAGCACCCCTGCTGCCATTTTGAAGAGTGGGGACGCTGGTACATGAGAGACAGAGGCTGGCTGGAGCACGGTAATGACTCAGCTCCAGCAGACTCAACTAATCAAGCCTGCTTCAATGTGCTGTAACCACAGTGCACTAGAGCAGCCTCCCAGCTCATGCACAAGCATCCATTCTGCATGAGAATCCTGAGGGTATATTATGACGGCAAATACTAATGCCTTGGTTTCCCACTCCGAGCTGAGGGATACCTTAAGGTTTCCTAAGCTAGTGATATGCTGTATTCTGAGTTTCAAAGTACTGCTACAGTGCAGGCAGGACAATAGTTTTCCATAGACCATTGTTATCTATACCAGCACAGCCAAGGACAAAGATTGAGGCTGGAAAATGCAGGGTGTTTTAGCTTTCTTCCAAAGTTGTTCGATTTTTCTGTTTTCTTTGCACCAAAGCACTGTCATGATGCATGGCTACCAGTCAGAGTAGAACGAAGTGGGTTTTTTTTCTGCCCTGTCCTTTAAAACTTACGTTACTGCTTTCAGATGTATTTAACATATGGTTATACTGGTGCAATTTAGGAATGGTGTGTCCACTGTTACTGTAGTTTTGTTGGTGGGTCGAATTAATGGAATAGCTCTGTACTGAGGTGTGAATATAGGTTGAGCTGCCACAAATGAAACCCACAACCTGGTGACAAATCTGGTCGGTGCAAAAAGGTACATATATTTCTTGTGTCAACTCCTTGCTCTTGGCCTTCATCGCAACATGGAGGCTTTAAACACATGAACATTTTTCACTGGCTGGGACCCAAACATTTAGTTTTCTAAATTATTTTTTTTTGCCAAATGTAATGAAGTTTACTTGAAAAGCTGATGCTTTGGAACATGTGAAATGTATTTCATTACTGTGCAGCTGCTCTTGGAAAGGATTAGTGCGCTGCTAGAGTATGACTCTGTTTGTCATGAAGGAGCTGTTGCCCTTTTCCAGCTTGGTTCTTCTACATTAAACCTTTTTCTTCACAATACCAACTTTCTTTGTTTTTTAAAGATTCTTTTCTCCTGCTTTTGAATCTGGAGCAGTACTGTAGCAGGGGGTGAGCAGGGCAACCACCCTGGGTGCTGAAGTGAAGGGGCACCAACAGGCATTCCCGAGCTGGGGCAGGGCACAGAATGGAGCTGTGAGTGGCTTGTTTGGGGGCGCAGGGGCAGTGGGAGGGCGACTACCACTGCTGAGTGCACTCCTGGACAAGTTTGGGGGGGGGGTGCATGCCCCCTGGATCTGTGTGCAGGGTGTGTGCTGTTGCAGGCTTGCCTTGGGCACCAAACTTCCTTGCTATGGTACTGATCTGGAGTCACTTTAGTAGTCTCTGTATTAATAGCGTTACCTTATTGTTTAGCTGACATGGCTTATAGAGGGGCCTAATATTTCTATATTCCTATTCTAGATTCTGCACAGTCTGTGTAAGAAAAATAGAAACTATTACTACTAATATTGATGACCTAATTAAGCTCCCATTGACTCTTTACGAATGTTAATGTTAAACCCACAGACCTCTTAAAATGGATTATACCGGTCTAATTATCTTTTTCAGCTCTAGGACTTTTCCTTTCATTTTGCAAGTGAATGTCAGCATTAAGAGCAACTAAAATTGCATGAGAGTATCTTGGCAAGGTATCACCTTCTGTGAAGGCCTAAGTTTGTTCACATTTTTCCTCCACAAAGACATTGCATGCTAAACATGGTTCCCTTTGTCAGTATATTTTCTAAATTAACCTTAATAAACAGCATTAAAAATGTGCCTGGTCTTTTTCTCAAACTTGAAACACCCAAATAAGTGCAACTGAAGGCCAGTGTTGGTTAGATTTGTGACAGCAGAATTCTATTGGACTTTGTTTCTTTCCCTCACAAAGGCTCTGTGCAAATATTGAGAGAAGATTTTTTTTTTAAAGGTTAAGTATTTCATCTTACAACTATTTTTTCTGAGTCAAAGCTTCTAAATCAGCATTTTCTCTGCTCTTCAAGCATTTGTTCTAACTTTCCTTCCTAAATCAAGCATGTTAAAATTTCAGAATTGTCAGTAGGAATAGCATGTTAACCTGAACCAACCCAAGTGCTAGTTTATGATGAGGGAGGCTTCTATTTCCATGCTTGAATATTAAGGGGAAAAGAAGAGACATGAACATAAGTAGTTGTTTTAATGTCTAATCTGCTCACTACTAGGGCAGCCACAGCCACTTTCTTCCTAGTTTGTAGAGAGATAGTGGGTGAATGCCCTGTGGTACCTGCTTTGGCTCATTCATGACTACTTTAGCCACTGCAGAGAGCAGGGTGTGGCTGTTTCTGGACATGAGGATCAGGAATTTAATTTCTAACATGAAAAAGTCCCTTAAAACTATATAAGTGGCACGTGCTGCTGTAGTGGTATTGATTTCACCCTGTCCGTCTGGTCCCAAATTAGCTTTTCTATGGTGTTCTTTCAATTGATTTCTGGAGAACGAGCTTAGGTTTTTTTTATAGACCCCCCTGTATTTTATCCTTGTTGTGCCTTAAAGGATTTTTATACTGGGGCTCCTAACAGAGGCCTTTAATCCACTGATTTATGGAGAGGGATTAACATTGAGTCTCTTCTATGCACTGGCTCCTTCACTCAGCATAAAGGGGCCCTAAATCCTGCAGTTGCAGCTTCAAATGAATTTCCCTGCTGCTGGCAGGCACTGTGGAAAACGTACCCCTCTGAGAAATGCTTCACGAACCTCAGTAAAAAGGGTGTTTGGGGGCATTTATGATTATGCAGCCTGTATGGCTTTAGTTAGGTTTTCAGGGCTGTCCAAATGAGGGGATGGGGGTTTGTGTTGGAGGTGGGATCTGACATCTCAGGTGTAGAAAGATATGAAGGTATCTACAAGTTCTGTGCTTTAGTTACGCCTCATACCTATGCAAACCTGAGACAGGTCTGTTGCTTCATTCTTGTATGAGTACATTTGACAGTAACAGCTTAGTTGTACATTTCTACTGGGCTGTGGCCTAAAACCATTATCCCATGGTTCATAGATCTGTTTCAGCTGGGTTGAAGAGTCCTTGTAGTTTTGAGTACAATCAGATCTCAGTCACTTAGCAGCAAGGGAATGCTTCTCGCAGAATCTTTTCGGGACAGGTAAGAAAAGGAAATTCTGTATGGACTCTGACATTAAATGTTGTCTTAGGGCAGTTACCCTGGTTCCAGACCCACCAGGGAGATCACTCTTGGAACCTCTGTCTGGTTCTTAAAGCTCCCCCAGCGACCCCTTGTGGCAGATGCTGTATTTCCTGATGATGGGCAAATTTATCAAAAGGAACCTGTGGCAAGAAGGCCCCTGTATTATACTTTCCATTTAGGCAGTTAACCCCATTACTAACATAGCATTGTTTTGGGAGGCACACATTCAAAAAGATAATCTTGCATCTTACAATGGAGGCAAGCTAGTAAGAAAAAATCAATTGTACTTTAGCACAATGAATGACAGGTAATTTCTAATTTTAGCTCAAATTGTCCTTTCTTTGGATCTACCCAAATTGATTTGCTTTAACAGAAGGATTGAAGCAAAAATGTTGATACAACTGCTTTAAGGCAAAAGCACTCTGGTGTATATCCAGAGGCTGTGGGGGCCTGGAACAAGGGAAAAAGCACCCCTGCCTTGAAATTTCAGTAGGTGAACTTCCCTTTTATATCCCTGCAGAACAGCTTAACATTTGTCCTTTATTGATGCTGTTTTGCATGCATGGGGAATAATAACCTTTGTAACTTGCATTTTGTGTCTTTGAATTTACTGTGTTGTAGATGGTGCTGGTATGCAAGCTCACTGCAAATCTGGACATAGAACTTGGCTGCTTGTCAGCATGTAAATAGGAAGATTGAATATGGTCACTCTGACCCTGTAGCAGTAGAGATAATGCAGTTAAACAAACTGGCCAGTTAGATGAAGGCACATAACAATATGGAAAGGTGTTTGGTAGACTGTGAATCCACTTAGGAGAGATGCACATGAGATTGCCTTGGAATAAGTAACTTCAGAACAATGATCACTCCTGGAAAGAGGAGTAAAGCACAAATACGGGTTCCAGATTTACTTTTGAGGCAAAAGACTGTATGATGTGGATGCAGCTCTTTTTGTTTTGAAACATTTTATTTTGCAGGGTATGTTGTTCACACTGACAAAATGCCTAACTCATCCTGACAAATAATGCATCCACAACAGAGAGAGAGAGAATAATATTCAAATATCCAGATTTGTTTTCATAGGAGAAATAATCCCCAGGTTTTCAGTACAGTAAGCTCGTGATTTTTTTTTTTCTTTCTTTGGAGCATAATTATACAATCTGTAATTTAGAAAAGTAGGATGGAATTATTTGGGCTCAAACAGTGGGAACCTCTAGCAGGTTTTCTTCTGATCTCCTTATTGTAATTAATTTGATGTCTTGATCACTCCAAAATTTTTCTTTCATAAAAACTCCTAGAAGTTTTCGTTACGTCCACTTAGATTTTTGACCTTGATAGTATTTATACAATCAAATGTGAAATCAGATGATAGAAGCAATGCTGGAGCTATAAAGACACAAATTCTTAAGAAATCTTCAGTTGCATATAGAAATAAAGAATTTTTATTGCATCTAAAAAAATCAGTTGGGGTCCTATTGTGTACAGCATTATAGATCATAAAAGTTAAACATTTCTTTGGCAGTAAAAAGAATTTTGTTGTCTGAATTCCTTGTTTCTGTGTTGCTGAAAGCTCAAGCTCTTTCATTCTGGAAACGTCTCATTCCCCTAGTGGTGGTAATTTACCTCATTCAGGTATATAGAGCTCCATATCTTCTCAGGGGATACTTAATGCTGCATCAGAATTTGACCAATGTATTGCTTAAAAGTATGCTAATGAGAGGCTAATCAATCTCCCAAATACATGATCTGCACTGGTCCAAGCTGTAAGTAGCTTTCAGTCAGCTTTCAGACCTGGGGCTGTGCAGTAGTAAAATGTCACCATCAGGCCAGTCCCACATATTAAAAACTAGGTACTAGTACATACTTGAAAACTGGGTAAATTGCCTAGCCAATCAAATAAATAAGAATGGCTGCCATTACCCCATACGCTACAAGCAGTCACAACAGAACAGAAAGGGATTCAAGTTATGAACCAGTAGCGGTGATACTATTTGGTGACCCTCCAGGGCCTGAAGTCTTTTGAGCCTTAGTAGCACTTTCCAGGATCCTCCTCTTCCATTCCTCATAGTCTTGTTTTGGGTCAGTTTCACATTTCTGCCGCTTACATGGGGTGTCCACTTCATCTTCAGCTTCTAGGAAGAGAGAAAACTCTTTCTATTGTGCATAGTATAGTGTCTAGAAAGAGGAATACATATCCTCATCTCTATGGACTGTGCATGCATGCATGCATATGCATGTTTTATACCCTGAAACATGAAGGCTAACACCTTGGGTTTCCTAGGGTGTTTTTTTTTTTTTTTTTTAAACTCAACCTGTAGTTTACATGCCACCTGCTTCCTTTTTTGAGTGGAAAAGGCTATACCAGTCACATTAGGTCTGCTCAATAACTAAACATTCTGGTGTTTCTGCCGGGCACTCTTAGCACTTCCAACATTTGGTCACAGGTAGAGGGGAGTGGATTGTTGGGCATAAAAACTTAGGACCCATGTAGGATATCTGAAGGCACTAAGTAACAGCAGATAAACAGAACTGGCTCTGTAGATCTGATGGTTTCACAGTTAAGACAGAACTTACCTTGTTCCTTCTCGATACACTGAAGCAAGGTCTTTGGGCTTTTAGTTGGTGAAGGTGTCAATGGACTGCAGTCTTCTTTTAAAGAAAAAAAAAGTGTATTTTATTTTTCGACAGTGACTGAGGCACTAAAGAATCTAGCAATGCGAGAGTTCCTGTTTTAATTCTGTACTCAAACACTTCTCTCCACCCTTCCCAATAGCTCACCCTTGTTCCTTTCCCTCCCCCTTAAACCACTTATTTCTATTAGTTGCATCCACAAAACATACCGAGTGATGTCCATGTAAATGAGAACAGTGCCTCATCTGGCCTCCAATGGAAGTGGCAAACAGCAGAGGAGGGTTTTTGTAGAACAAATTTTAGCAGACCCCTAACTGTACTAGCCATGGACTGCTAGCCATGGATAGGGAAGGGATCTAAACAAGTGAGCACAGGGTTTTGGATTAGCTGAGGGGGTGGCTGCGCACATTTGCAGGAGAAGGTCGGGGCCTGGATGTTTTTACCTCTGGATGGAAAGAAAGTTCCAGTGCCTGATATTATGGGAAGTAGAGGTGGTTATGTTTTTTACATTGCTAGGATGCATGGACACGGGGATCAAAGATGGTTGAGATAGTATGGGGGGGAAAGGGAGAATGGTGGCAGTCAAAGATTGCATAGTTTGGAGTGGGGGAAGAGACACGGTGAGAGAGAATTCAGTTCTTGGTCACGCTAGAGTTTAAGCCAGTGATTCTCAGCCAGGGTGATACGAGATCCTTTGAGGGGTGCTGCAACACCTAGCCCATGTGAGAGGAGACGCATGCTGGCTCCTGCAGATGCCCCTGCCGCTTGCCTCTGAACCAGTGACCACTCTTATTCCCTTCTGCTTCCTGCAGGGACACTTGCCTCCTTCAGGGGTCCAAAAACCTATCCTTTCAAAAATCCTGCCAAGCAGCCCCTGCCATCCTAGGCACTATGCATCACCTGCTGCCATACTCTCAGGGCTGCCCTGTCCACTCTGCTACATAGTAAGATCCCTTTAAAGGTGCTGCAGGGTGCAAGAAGGTAGGCACTATAAGAAATAGTGTTCTTTAAATGGGGCACCACTGAATTCAGACAATTATCGGGGTGATGCCTTGCATCTTCAAAGGCTGAGGACCACTGGTTTAAAAAGATGCGATATCCTGGAAGTGCGAAACCAGCACTGGTGAGAGGTTAAACTGAGGAACGAACAGGTTCGTTGGCAGAAAGAGCACCTGAAATCATGTGCGCGTACACAGTCGCCCAAGGAAAAGGGGAGGAGGGAGACACCAACGTGGTATCTGAGAGAACCTGTATGTTGCCTACTACCATGGAGCACTTACTGCTGATCTGCTGACTTAGCTTCTCCAGCTGGCTGCACAACCGGTCAAATAGCGCCTTCTTCACCCCAGATGTAGCCACCAGTTTTTTCTTATCCACTTTCAGTTTCAAGCATCTACAGGAGAAAGCCAATTTATCTTCTGAAGGAATCAGAATTCAATCAAGTGTAACTCAAGCCGATCATGACAGGAAGTCATGGTGCTGCCCGGAATCCCTGAGTTCTAATCTAAGCTCTGCTGAGTGACTTGCATTATGAGTTTGTGCAGGTCATTTCCAGCTTGTTCCCCTCTCTGTAAGTACTGGGTGCGCCTGCCTTACAGGGAAGCTGGGATGACTGCATGATCCTGACAACACTAGAATTTACGACAAGAAGCAAAAAATTCCATGTTCAGTTGGAATTGCAGAGGGAAAGAAAACATCCAAGCTGTAATTTGGCCCAGAAATCTGATGAATAATTCTACTCCTGCACAAGTCAAATGGGACTCTTGTACTCGCAGCTGAGCGTTTCTTACCACAGCAGGTGAACAGGGCCTTTCAATCTTATGGTGGTTCGTAAGGTGACTATCGGGCACAAATCTTTCTGACAGGGGAGCTTGTCATGAGCAGTGAAAGTTCTACAAGGGTTTGGTTTCTTCAGTGTCTGCTGGACGCTAATTTTCAACCCTCCCTTCAGATGGCTTGGTGCCCCAAAGACTAGACTGCCTTTTAGGTGAGAAGGCTGAAGGGAAGGGACACCATTTGGAGCTTGTCAGTTTTGAGCTTTCAGCAACAGCTTTTTGTTGGTGCTCACAACGCATCACCCTGTCATCTCCTCTTGAAGCAGTATCTCACTACAGCTCCAAGGATGACTTTACTGCATGCCAAGCTTGAAGTGCTGCACCCCCAATATCATATCTAGGTTTGGGGGACAGAGACACTGTATAATGCAGAGGCGGCCAACTGGTGGCTTGGGTGCCACAAATATCATGACCAGCCTCCATAAGTGGCATGCAGCAAACTGGGGAGAGAAAAGGCAGCACCATGGCAGATAGGGTACAGATCAAAAAGCTGAGCAGCAGATTGGGGATAGGGAAAGTGATCAGAAGAAGTAGAGTCCTGCAGACTGCTTACAGTCCCTACTGCAAACCTGGTAGGATGGGTGGGAAAGGCGCTCTCACTTTCACGTTGTGGAACTTGTGTTTCCTCTTAAAAACCCAAAGAAATTCCATGCGACAGAAGTGAGAAAACAGAAGTGCTAGCTATAACTCTCTCTGCTCCCTTTCGTGAAGGCCTTATGGTCGCTGTTAACTACATGATTGCCCAACGTTTTGCACAGAGCTACGTTTGTGCTAGTGCTATCAGCTCCTGTACTGGATCCCTGGGGTCTGTCCTGTCCAGTATCCCTGTCTCAGCAGTGGCTTCTGCTGGAGAATGCAGCAGGAACTTGGCCATCCTTAAAAAGGGCTGGGGTTTAGGCAGGTGGGTGACACAAAGGGCAGATAACTTCCCCAGCCCTAAGCACATTAAGTTCCATTATGGCCTCTAATAGCTAGATCAGAGGGGCACTCAGGGTGGTGTGGGTATGCCTTGCCTGATGCACCTGGCAAAGGATGTCCTATGACTGGCACAAGTCACTAACAGATAACAAATATTAGTAGTCATCTATAATGCTTGTCACATATTAGTGGCAAGTCTTGGGAACAGCCACTGAGCTCCTATTCTTGTTGTCTGCCTAAAATTCCTTTTTTTTTCCCCTCCAACAACAAATGGTATCCAGGCCTAACACTTCACTACAAGGAAAAGACTGTTCTTTGGCTGTCCCAAGAGTAGAGCAACAGGATACAATTCACTACCCAGAAGGTTCAGAAGATTTAAGACATATGGAGGCTGGGCAGGCAATGATCCCACCAATGTAATTCAGCACTTATGCAGGCTTTCATTGATGCTTCCCAGGAGTACAAGGTGGAGTGAAATACAGGAATGTGACTTTTGTGTCCTTCCAGATCAACTGGTGGAAGGCCTGACCAGGCTAAACCCTAGGAATGGCAAACCAGTTATACCTACCTGCACGCAGTAAACAATGCCGCCGTTGTAAACAGGGGTTTTGATAAATCAAGAGCCATTTGCTGTGCTTCAGAGAGACTGGATTCATACCTAGAAAACAGCAACAGCATTTACTGCACAGCTAATTGGCTTCAAACAAAGCTGCTGAAATGAATTGGTTACATGCCACTTTGCAGTCAAGCAAAAGCCCAGTATTGAATTTGCTTAGCACTTTGTGTCTTACCTAGGCACAAACATCATTGTCTGCTCCTGACTGAGAACAAATGAGACACAGATGGGAAAGAAGGGGCTCACTACCCTCTTGAGTTGCTGCCACGGTGCAATTTATTTTAAATTGAGGAATTGGGCAAATGGGACAAATAGAATCAGTAGTCTTTTTTTCTGCTTGGCTCAGTCAATAGAACAAAGTACTTCATGCTTGTAAAGAACTGAAGGGACTTTTTGGGTTCATCTCAGTGCAGAGGGCCAGGTCTGTAGTTCTTAACTACTCACTCTCCACTGATGCCTTCACACAGGTCTTAGGTATGGCTGAGAGCTTTGTGTACCTCAGTACTGGGCTGTATTTCTTTCTTCATTATGCATCTACCCAGGGGCTATTTATTTCAATTTATATTTGTAGGAACTATTGTTTAAATACACTGGAAAAAGTCTCTAGGTATTCTGGTAGCCTCAATCTTAAAACAGGATGGATGCATGAACAGCTTTTAAATATGTTAAGCCACCTCTAAGTGATGACTATTCTTTATACAAAGAATAATGACATTTCAGCCACTGCTCGTGTTACTATACGGAAGAGATTTTTAACACATAAGACTTGTGACTGTAAAGTCTTCCTCCGCTTCCCTTTTTAAAAGAAGAGCAAGGTGCATTTTGGACACATTTCTCTAGCCATGCTGATGTCCTTCCTATTGTGCATGTCTTTTAGAACTGTCATGTTTATTGAGAAAGTGGTACAGGTAGGTTTAAATGCAGATGATCCATGGAAAGTAACATGGTGCTGCAAATAGGAAAACGGACTGGGAATCAAGAATTCTGCCTTTTATTCTCAGTTCCACATTAGCTCACTGCAATACCAAGCAAGCAGCGATCTAAGATTTTAGATGTGGGTCGCTAACGTAGGCCTACGTAAGTAACTTAATTTTCCAGTTTTGCTGGGCACTCCAAGCCTCTCTTAAGTCAAGTTGATGAGAGACACAGATGTTTCATATGATCAGGCCCTTAGCAGGTATAAAGGGCATTTTTAAGAACAAGCTCAAACTTATGGCCATAAAAAGATCTTTAAGTTCCCTACCTTTGTAATAACTTTGCTGCTGTGTTGATTGCCTCTGTGCAACAGAACTGGACAGCCAAGTCTCGGATTCCCAGACTGGAGTTCATGCCTAACAAACACTCAAAAGACTTCACGCAATTCTGGTAAGTTGTCGTGTTCAAACCGGAGAGTCTAACAAAGTAGCTCTTTGGAAGAAGAAAACCCACAAATTTCATGGATTAGTAGAATATTTCTTCAGTACTTTACCCAGAGAGCTGGAATAGGTAAGTTTAAAACCAGTCTCTCTTCTTAAAAGGAGTTTAACTGTTGTGTGTAGTGGCTGATATTGCAGTTTCATTGCGGAGACAAAATGATTAAATTGCTAAGAAATAACCCATTGCAGTGTCACCATGGCATAATTACCCGAATGTTGGGGCTTGCTTTTCCTAAATGTGAGGAAAGCAACATGGCCCTTCCCCCTGCAGATGCTTTAAGGCAGGGGTCAGCAACATTTTTGGGCAGAGTGCCAAAAAGATCCGCAACCTCGGCTTGTAAGGGGCAGATGGTAGAGGAGCCACGAGGGGCCCGATCCTTGTTGTGGTAGTGCAGCCCTGGCTCTTTCCCCGCTGTCTACCCCAAGGCATGTGTGCCTGTCATGGAGCCCTGGCTACTCGCAGCAGGTGGTGGGGAAGCTGCAAACAGCTGCACTGGTGTCGGCGGAAACCCAGACTGGCTTGTTGGTGGCAGCAGTTGCATGTATGCCTTGAGGCAGACAGCAAGGAAGGGGCCAGGGCTGCACCGCCACAACAAGGATTGGGCCCCTAGTGGCTCCCCCACTGTCTGCCCCAAAGTACGCAGGCCAAGCAAAACCCTTTGCATGCCGTGCTATGGCATGCATGCTGGAGGTTGCCTACACCTGCTTTAAGGGCTAAACAAGCTGACTTTGGAGCATTTGTTTAGGGAAGCAGTTTTCTGCCCTAGCAGTTCTAGACAGGCACCCACAAGCTCCCAGCACGGAGACAGACATAGAGTCATTGGCCTTTTGCATGTTTGCTTACAGTTAAGGAAAATGGTTTACTGTCCTTCAGTTACTCTCAGCCAGGGTCTGTAGACAATTTTTACTAGAATCAAATGTCAAATAAGTAAGAAGTAACAGCAGAGAAAGTGTCCATCTCAAAAGGAATGAAATGTTGGCTGCTTACAGGTGTGGAAATTAAAAAATCCCACCACTTTATTTTCAGCTGGGTATGCCCCTGCACTGAGTGCAGTGCATGCCCAGAAGAGGCACTGTGTTAGTTTGACCCGGCTCTCCTAACATCTGTATAGATTGTGTGCTTCAGCAGGGTTTTTTGGTGCTTTTATCTAATAGCTGATTGAATCAGCTATTAGATACAAGTGCTAAGAAGCCCCGCTGAAGTGCCTGATCTATACAGAGCTAGGTCAAACTAACACACTTCCTCCTCTGATAAAGTACCCCCCCACCCACATCTGTCAGTGCCCTATGACTTTAGTCTCCAATTCTGCATCAATGAAAACTGGAATAGTACTGGTCAGCAATCTGATATACAGGAAATGTTACTTATTAGACTTCCCTTGCTGAGCTCATAACGTATACTAAAGAGGATCCCATTTTTATTGGGGCTAGTAACAGAGAAATGAGAACGAGGGCACATAAGGCATCTTACTTTGTCTACTGGCTGCTTCATGAAACTAGCTGCTAGATCCAGGCACATCACCGCATGGCTTGTGGCTGTCATTTGAGTTAACAATCCTGTGCACTTCACCTGGGACAGTCGCAGATGCTCTTCAGCTTTTCTGGAAAGAACAGACACCACAAAAAATGTGTTAATGCCAATGGTGGATGTGTTTTATTTTTATCTGGAAGATGCAAACAAGCAAACCCAGGTTAGGCTCTTGTAGATGAAGATACAAAAGTTTAGACAAATAAGATGTCAGTGAAATGTCTGGAAGTACTGAGTGTTTTGGACTGTACCGCCTCACAGATGACCAAAGAGGGAGTCCACTCAGTCAAAAGTAATTTGAACACAATTCCTTCATCATGTCCCTTGGACTAGATACAGAAGGACTTGGAGACAGGCCTTAACTAATGCACACATTTATATTTAATCCACAAAATATTCATATAAAAGTTTTAAGCTGCCTACTGATAAGAGCTAAGCATCCACCAACCCAGCAGCACAATGTGTTTTACTAGCATTAAATAAGCAAATAGATGACCTTTAGCATAGAAAGAACAGGCTTAAGACTTGTCAATTCAACTGAAATAACTAAATCTTGTTTAATTAAAATCTTTAGTTATTTGGGGACATGTCCACATGTAAACTTTTATTTCAGGAGAGGAGGTTTCAAGGGGAGAGATTTATGACAACAGCAGCTTAGAGCAGACAAGGGAA